GAGGTAATTACTCATGTTACATGCATGTATGCAACATGTAGCATCATGAAGTATACAGTAATCGCCGCAAAACAAGCGACAGAAAAAAATAAGTCCGATAAGGCTCATGCAGAAGTCAGCAAATCGCTGCAATCGATGCGAATGCTAAATTCTAAATGGTACGTTTCTCACCGGTTAAGATAACGGTGCTAGTATGAAGACACATCGAACCATGAGCCCATGTGAAAGAGGAAAGAAAAGGTTGTTACCAGGTATCCGGAAGGGAATGACAGAAACAGACAGAGGAGAGCGGAAGGAAGCATGTATCCAGCCCCCATGTTGTGTCATTCCGGGGCTCCCCATTGGCCACCGGCGACCGGCCAACATTCCCGAGTGAAGAACAACACGCAAACGCAACAGCCCGACGTTGCAACGCAACAAAAAGGGACCGCAAAAAAAAGAAAACATTGAACCCCACCACAGTGACAATTCAGGCAAGCAAAAGCCCTTCATTTCCCACTGCTCCTTCGATCCCCATGTCGCAAAGAATTTCTGTCATGCGACACAGAACTGGGGTAATTCAACGTCGCAAACCTTTGCACCCCCATTCTCCATGCTCAAATACGCTCGCTACGGGGTGCCCATCGCATCCCCGAGTCAAGCAACCTACCCATTCCCCATTCTCATTCCCACTCCAAATCCAGACAACAAATACTCATCAAAGCAGGGCACGCAAGCCGCCTGTTCGCCCCACCGCCTTTTACGAATACCCGGTTTTATTTTTACCCGATCTGCGCTTCCCTGCCTCGATTCATAAGGACCCCGAGAGGGGGGGGGGATTAGGTTATATGGCATGTATGTTATATGTAGGAATATGTAGTATGAACGAATAGTGGAGCAAAATATGGGTGCGTGAATCAGGTTCCAAAAAGGTAAAGGGACACAAGAGAGAGAAAGTCCCTGCAGCTAGGTATACGCCGTTTTCGTAAATGAAATGCAAGCCACGAAAATGCGTTGGGGCTTGCTGCGGGAAAGTTGGAAGGGGGGTGGGGCGGGAAAACGGCTTGTAATATCCAAGTACGTATTGTAGAATAGTATGTATACGGGTCGAGGACGTTGAGGGAGGGGGAGGGTGTGCTGAAACCGAGCTACCCTTTTTTGCTCCCGTTATGCAACGGTCTCGCGTGTATGCACGCGAGGTGGAAACAAGCGAGGTGTGTAGGGGTGGGGTGATGTGTATGTGGGTGTGTATGTGGGTGTGGGTGTGTACGGAGGAAATGGCCGAGTAGGCGGGCGTATGGGAAGGGAAGATTGCTTGGGTGCCGGCGAGAGGAAGGATTGAGGGCCTGACGCGCGAGAGCGGGAAGGAATGCTTGTTGCTACTCGCTATTTGCTCGTCGGCATTGACAGTCCGCAACCGGTGGACGTTAAGGCTGACCAGCAGCCAGGAATGAAGAAAAAACGTGTGCAATGACCTGATGTAGGAGTTGTAAAGGCGGGGAGACGGAGAGAAGATGCAACGACATGACAAGACATCAGATGAGATGGCGCGCAATCCTTTCTCCACCGCCAACTCGCCTTTCTTTCTCTCTTTCTTCCGCCAGAAGGGGGAAACTTGGAAGGTAAGATAGACTGCACGAGTAATTGTTCAATGCGAGCAAAAACCTTGAATCAAGGTAATCGGACTTATTTTTCCAAGGAACAATGTGTACAATCGAAGGAATGACGGGCGTGCGCATCGATCGAGCGCCTAACAAAAAGTCCAGAAGAGGACCCGTTCTGCGAGTACGAGGCTGAAAAGGGCAGTAAGTAGATTGAGTGTGGTTTAGTAACAAACTGGGGTGCGTGGAGGGAAAGATAGCCGCGAGCGTGCGCGCAGTACGACGTAAAACAAGCAACTTTGCACATTTACTGTGTAACTTTCCCCGCGCATGTCACGCATGGCCTGGCCAGCCCAGCCCACAAGTCGAGAAAAAAAAACAATCAAATAAAGACAGGATTTTTGATGATGATAGGGAGGGGGGGGTTGGGGGTTGGGTGGGCAAGTTGACAAGCGGGAAATTATGGCAGTGAACCAGAGTTCACAAACGCATACAAAAGAAAATAATAAAGAGATAAAATAAAATATAGACTAAGATGGAGAGGGGGAGCAAGTATAATGGCGTATGATTGACCAAACCCAGTACCGAACCACAAAAACGGTTCATCAACCACGAGGCGCACACACATGCGCGCCCACACCAGATGCAAAAGCCAATTGATAGTCCAACACTGCATATTGCGCAACCCTGGAAACGGCAAACTACATAACCTACCCCCGTCGTTCAAGACAAAACAAATACTTTCCGGCTTTTGTTGTTTTCCCCTCCTTCTATTCTCGCCTTGGGTTCGCAAGCCATTCGCAGCCACGAACATGGGGTAAAAGGGCTGGAATGCATGAAGCACGCTTGGTTGAGTCGGCATCCGCTCCGTGTCCTCTCGCAAATCATTCCGGGAGGGTTGCATGAACGTGGTGATTACAAAGGGTATGCTTTGGCATACTTAGAGTTTAATGAGAGACGAAGGAGGGCTTAGCGAGGTCGGAGTATGGACGGAACTCCGATAGGTAAATGGGCATGTGAGTGGAGCGGGGAAAGGGGAGAGATTTGGGGAGGGATTTGGAGAGGGGGGAGGGCCTAGACAGGGCGTTATTGTGTTGTTCTTGCGTTCTCAGCCAAAGAAGGCAATTGGTGATGCGTGGTGAGAGGTGGATTGGAGAGGACTGAGGGGATGGCTGTTGCTTAGCTACAGTCGGGGATCCGGTTGGACGGGGGAGATGCAAGTCATTGAAGTGCCAAAGAATATTTGGTCAGTACTACTGGACAAGGAACTGGTTTGCTTGCAAGTGTTGAGGGCGCGAATGAATGGACGCAAGCAAAAAACTTGGCTCAGCTTGGCTGTTTTCCCCGCTCGCCGGGAATAGTCAGTCGACGTAATTATTGGTAAAGGAACAAGAAACCTGCAGAGAGACAAGAGAGCAAAAAAAAAGTAGGGCCAACTATCCAAGTTGCTTTCCACGTGGATCTACTCTGCGGTAGCGTCAGCGGGGATGCGGGATAAGCGTTCATTCTTGGGAATGACATAGCAAGCAAGCAGGCCCGGCAACGGTCGGAAACGTGTGGTGGGAACCTGTTCCGTTATGGTTGACCAATGGCTCCCTTGGGGATGTTCGTGGTGGGGCCCGAGCTGACAAGTACCAGCCGGCAGTGAGCCCCGTGGACGTCGTGTGCATGCGGCTGGCTGGGCTGGCAGCCTCGCAGGATGAATGCCCATGTTGCATAATGCGTCGCCCTTGTTTTTTTAGTTGTTTGGTCCCATTTCTTTCCGTTTCCTTTCTAGGTGAGTAAAGTAGTGTGATGTGCACATAATCTTGGTAAAATAACTTGCGACGGAAGGCGTCAATAGCGCGCGCGTCAATGCACACGGTTTTGAGTTTGAAGCACGCACAACAAAAAAAAAGTGCCGTAGTGCAAACGGGGTAGTGGAAGCGATCTCAGTCTGCTAGGGCCAGCCAATGGTGTGTCGCAGATGCTCACTCTGGCAGAGGCCGAAGATTGTCGGAACGGTTTTGTGGCACTGAAACGCAGCTCGAGGATTACCTCTCTGAGCAGCTATACACAGGTAACATAGAGCTAATGTAGATAACGCGCGTACCCTCGCGACAACTCGTACGACAAATGTGCGGCACATCTGCATATCATGGGGATTATGCTTGTTACCGTGTAGTGTCGCAAACAACTGATGCAAAAACACTGGCGAGAACAGCTCAAGGGTCCGTTCTCTTCTCAGCCATTTGCCAAGACTGCGAGCTTGAAAAAAGCAAATGGGCACGACAGGATTGGGCATATGTGTACACGGTATGTTTCCCGAAAAGCCAGGGTCTGCCGCATAGTCGATGAGAGGACGAGTGCTGAAGCCGAAAGCGAAATGCATGATTGGAAAGTGGGCGGAAGCGGATGGGAAAGGGAAGGGGGAGGGGGAAAGGGCTGCGCGCTTGCCCAACGGGCTTACTACTATCACACATGCCGAAAGACTAAGGGACCATGTGTGATGTGTATGTACGGGGGCATACGAGAAGTAGCGTATTCACAGAGTTAGTTTATCGGAACTTGAGCGTACAAGACTGATGATAGACGAGAAGATGCAGACGCTACTCGATAAATAAACGTCAAGAGGGGGGCACTTGGATGGGATTCACAGTGGTTGCCTGCATGAACGCCATACCGGATGGGTAGCCCGTGGTTGTGATTTGGTCCCAAGGCATGTGGCGCCTTGAGAGATCGAGATCGGAACTTGATGCCAAGGCCCAGAATGCTCATCTGGCGCAGGAGCAATTTTTTTTTTCTCCAAATAGGCCGAGTGGATCCGATGCAGCGCTTGTGGCGCAAAGTTCAATGACGTATTGCGTAGCAGAGAGATCGAGATTCGCACGCACACTGTCGGGGCCTTGATTCAGAAACAAACAATGGTGGACATGGCTAGCAAAGCATGTGTCCCAGGGCAGGCTCAGGGGGAGGTCCAAGTAACAAAGGACGTGGTTGATGGGGGGTGGGAGTGGGATCAAGAGGTGCCGGCAGCTTTTGCGCTTGTTCATGCAGCAGAGGGGATCGCATATGCAGGGTCTCTGTAGAGGATGGAGGAATGGACGGATAGCTGAACAGTGGTTGCGGTTGCGAGATTGCGCAAGCGAAGACGCATCAAAGAAGCAATCTAGGTTTCACGAGATGCTAGGCAATCGCATCGGGAGGGCGATTGACGAGGGGAAACAATCATCGAGGGTCCTGCTACCACGGTAGAGGGCGAGGATTAGCCCCGCGGATGAGGGGACAGAGTATTGGTTGAGGGGACAGGGCGGGCAGCCAGCCAGCCAGGCAAAGCAGTAAGATGGTTATAGCATGTACGTACTATAATGTACATGCAAGCAAGCCAGGCAAAGCAAGTGCACGCACAGTGTGTGTAGAGTAAGTAATACTTGGACACGTATGTACCGCATTGTCCGGCATGACCATGAAATGGTAGACACATGGAAGGCGGGAGGATCGCGATGCATCGGGGAGAAAGGGAGGGAGGAGGGGTCTTACACGTGGACCGGAGGCGGCTCTGGTGACGCGAAAGAGACTTTTTTTTCTCTCTCTTCCCGCTCATTTTGTTGCATGGCCGGTGACGGGAAAGCGGAGGGTAGAGGCCGAAATGGCAGGATTGCGGTGTCACGGCGGACAAGGCGGTCGCCAGAAGTGTATCGCGGCCTGCTGTTTTGGGAGTCGGCAGGTGCGCAGGGACTGGGGCAGTGGGTAGCAATGACATCAGCGTGTGTAAGAGATAGCGAGGGCCCGGGTCAGGCGGCGGCGGGAAAAGGGGACTTTTGGCTGGGCCCTGCATGGAGTGTCAGTGGGCTCTGGAGGGCAGAGGGCAGATGGTCGGGCGTGGGATCGCGATCGTAGGTGAGAGAGTTGGAAAAGGACCGGATGCCTGCTGGAAGGGCTGTGGTGCAAAAGCAACGGGGAGGGGCTAGGGTGTGAGGATCAGGTCGATGTAGTGCCAAAACCCGATGAGGGGACGAGGAGCAGGCCCGGGGTGCACGGCTACCGTTTGGCGTCCGCGTGGAGCGAGGTGGGCAGAGGGCCAGAGGGGTCTATGGGTCTGACGAGCGCGGTGGGCTAGCAGGGGGCTAGTAGGGGCAGACAGCTGCTCCAGGGGCTGTGGCGCAGGAGACTGGCTGGCGGGCGGGGCGACGTCATTGGGAGCCGCGCCGCAATCGATCCCCACCCGATTGCCCGATCACTGCTGAACGTCAAGGCCGGCGCCTGCCCCCTTTAGGCCCTAGCGGAAACGGGCGGACAGGGATGCGCCGACAGGGATTGGGGAGCGGAGAAGACCCTGATCTCTGGATTACATCAGACATCACGACGTTTATGCCGCCCCGTCCATTTTGCCAGTACCGACACGCAGACCCTGGCCTGCTGGCCCGCAGAACGCCCGCCCTCCGCCCTGCGCCGCAGCTTCCCACCGCCCGAGGGGGGGGCATGCCAAAGGAAAGAAAGCGACTGCTGCGACGGTACATACATAGATATGGTACTTGGATACGGGTGCGGTGTGGACGTGGATGCCGGTGTGGTGTGCAATCGGCTTGTTGAGGGGCACATGCCTGTGTGGTCCTGTAGTATGGATGCGAGTATGTGCGTGTGTGTGGGCGCACCGTGCAAAGAACCAGAACAACAACTGGGAATAATAATAATAATCCTAGGAAGAAGAATAACAACAACAATAATAATAATAATAACTACAACCACAACACCCACACACTCCCTCACTCACTGACTGATACACGCACCCATTGCCGCACCCGCACCCACACTCATACACAATATACACTTTCTCATGTACCCTCGCCCGGCAAATGCTCGAGTGCCATGTCCGAGGAGCGGCAGGCAAAGAAAAAAAAGGCGTGAGCTGGCAGGCGGGCAGGCGGGAGAGCAGTTGCAGCCCAAGGGCCGATGGTCCCCTCCCCATTCACAGTCCGGCATTGTCACGCCCCAAATTGACGAGATCGCGATCTGTCGTCCTGGCACGGCACCATTCCGCCGCGCAGCATTGGCCGAGAGTTGCCCTTGGGCGGCGGGTGCTCTTGTCTGGGGTTGCTTTTGTCTTGATCGCCCGCACTGCTGCAGCTCTGCCCCCAAGCAGCCGGCTCAACAGCACAAGAAGCTTTGGGGGGCGTGGCCCTCGATCGCCGGCTGTGTAGCGCCATGCCAGGCAGGCGTAAGATGAGCTGATGCCACCTGGTGCTGGTGCGCATGCTTCCTGGTCGCGCGTCGCCTCGCCAGAAGCTGATCGCCGGGGCCCCTGCTCCTTCACCGCGCTAGCGTCCTAGGGCGCACTGCACTTTCCCATCTCCACGCATGCAATTCTCAGTCCCTGATAGTGCCCTGATCCCGGATGGGCGAACCCTGTGCCTTTTGCCCTGCTTGTGCCTGCCCATTATAACTGCCCACCCACGCCCGCCCAACCGTCTGGTGCTGCTGCCAGATCCCTCTCTTTCCCCATCATCCATCACATCACCCATTACCACCCACAACCACACCACTCACCACTTGTTGCCCATCCATCGCCCTCTTCAACCACGTCATCATCCACCTCGCCCTCTACCGTCTTGCACACTGCTGCTGCTGCTACTGCTACCACTTACTGTTAGCCACTGCTGCTGCTGCTGCTGCTGCCCGCCTCGCCTCGGACTTTCACGTGCTTTGCCTGTCTACCTGCGCCTGCGCCTGCTCTGCGTCCTGCACTGCCTTCTTTGCACACGCACCGCACCGCACAACCACACCCCCCCTCTCGCTCTCCCCACATTACTGTGAATTTCATCACCTCCCCTCCTCGCACCGGCACGTGTCTGCTCAAAATGGACGCCTTGTCCGGCAAGAATTCGACAGGTCGCAGAGTGTCTTTGCTAAACGACGGCCCGGCGCCTCCACCTCAACTTGTCCGACTCCCCTCCATCACTCCTTCCCTCCAATCCCGCACCTCAGCTTATTCGTCACCTGCTGCCTCACCACCAACCCCACGCCTGGTCCGCAGCGATTCTTCAGACTCAAACATGCAGACTCCATCGCCCATTACCCCAGACTTTGCTTTTGAGCAGGGCATGGACTCGCCCGTCTTTTCGCAAAATGGCTTCTTCCCCTCGCAAAAGGACCTCAGCTACCCCATGCACCAGCCACAAACGGCCCCGATGCCCTATCCACCCCAGCCGGGCTACTTCAACAACAGACCCGACCATCTCCAGGACCCGCACCACCAGCAACATCAGCAGCTCTCGGAGCCATCGGCCCTTAACACCCGCCCAAAGAAGAACAGCTACCCATGCCCAATGGCCAAGCAATTTGGCTGCAACGACTACTTCACCACCTCAGGCCACGCTGCGCGCCACGCCAAGAAGCACACCGGCAAAAAGGACGCCTTCTGCCCCGAGTGCAACAAGGCCTTCACTCGCAAGGACAACATGGAGCAGCACCGCCGCACTCACCAGACCGGCCGCAACGCCGCAAAGGGCGCCGACCGCGACGTCAAAAAGGCAAAGCACCAGGCCAAGCGCCCCAAGCCAGCGCCTCTGCAGTCGACAATGCCTTCCCTGTCGTCGCTCTCCATGGTGGACCCCACCCTGCCCGTCAGTCCCGCTACGGCGTCATACATGGCTCCCCCGGTACAATCTTCCGACTCCTTCCTCGACTTTTCAAACTCACAACATCGCTCGCCGTACCCCGACCCCACTCCTTACAGCTACAACCCTAGCTCGTACGGTGGTCTAGACGCCTTGGCCATTGCGGCCAGCGGAGAGAAGCGCAAGTTTGAGTCGTAATCAGCTTTGTCACTCGCCTCTCTCAGTCTAGTTTCTATTCTTTTTTCGTCTCACGTTTGTCATCACTTTTTTTTCTGATCTACGGCACGAGGCTCAACAACCTCTGGAGCATGGCGCTTGCGGCTACGATCAGCATCTAATGGAGTTTTTTTTTCCACTAAAAAAAGGCCGTTTTGGAAGAAATAGACGCACGCCGTCATGGCTACAAACGGATCTCGGCGTTTCTTTTGGGTGGGCGGTGCGATTTGCTCGCACACACGCATGACCTTTTCCTTACGTATTCTCTTCGCCTTGTCATTTCCTATGTATATACCTTTACGGCAGTCACGCCCTCTTACAGACATGTTTTATTTTTATTTTCTTCTCGTTTCAATTCGGTGGTAGCGCTACCATGATGACGGCCAATTGGGTGGACGGAGGGCTTCAATCATAGGGACGTGGGTTTGGAACTGGTAATATGGATACCCGCCCTTTTTTGCAAGGTGCACCGACCTTTGATTTTCTGTCTTGATTTTGAACACATGTGGCACTGGCCCCCGAGGACGACTGAGCGGTGTTCTGTTACAAACCATCACCCCCTCTGTCTGCTACTCGGATAATAGCAATGAAAACAATTACACATACCCATTACATGGCTCGTCCCTGCTGGCAAGGTTGCTTGGTGTATCTACGTGCATGGCTTTTGTCAATGCTCCCTAACGCAATATGGCTTGGTAGTCTCAACAATATGTCTGTAACCATGGAAAGGCCTCGTGGACAGATGCTCCGTCAAAGTCGCCCAACTCGCCAACCAGGGCGCCAGTTATGTGGCCTTGCAGATGCAAAACCCATGGCGCACATGCAATAGTGACGATGACGACCGGTAATCAAACTACAGCTTGGTGGCCCGCTGTCATTCCGCAATCTCGTTACTAAGGCCATCTGCCGTCGGCTTGCCATGGTTCGCAGCCTGTCTAGCCTTTTTCTCCTCACCTGCTATCCACTCTTGGCCGCTACGCAGCGCCTCACAAAGCTTATTTCAGTGCGCTGCCATCTGTGAGTCGCTGCGGCGTACTCTCCCCGCAGGCTACCCAAGAACCGATGCAAGCCAACGGCTAACTCTCAATTCTTTGTTTCCAATCCCAGCCTGCCTACCGCTTGCGTGTAACTCTTACGTTGGAAAAAAAATCCACTAGTTCGTGCAGGCCGGCTCCCCCCTCCAAGCAATGTAGACCCTGCAGATCGCCCTTCAACATCTCGGTCGAAGCCCTGAAGATCTGCACATGAGGCCTCATTGGGTAGGCTGGCCATTCCGGGTTTTGCCATTGGCCTGCCCTGGGGTCGGGTACACCAACCCCTCCAGCCCACGCATTGCTGCTGCGACTAATACTACAACGCTTTGCATCCAAGCCCCCCCCCATTACTAAATCTACAGTCAAGGACATGCCTTCAACGAGATTACACCTAGATGTGCTAAAGTTGCGCCGCAATACACTCTTACGGACAACAGCCGACAGCCCGCTACGACACACTTAGCAGTGCCCCGAGCGGTTACGCGCACTTTGAGCCTACCCTTGCACACCTTACACACCTTTTTGCTCCGTCTTCTCACGTCCGAGGAGCCTGTCCGGCACACGTCTTGGGCGTCACACCATTTCCCCGGTCTGACAATATCTTTTTCATTGCTTTTGGCTCTTGCTCTGTCGTTGTCGGCCTTTGTTATTTTTTGCTGACTGTTCCATGTTTTGCATTTGCATGTCCATCCGGCTGCTTACGGATCTGCACGGCTTTGAGGGGGCGCGCTCAGCCAGAGCAAGCCCTATACGCTAAATTACAACGAATCAAGCTGACGAGCGACCGTAATCATCCCCTCAAGGCTGGAACCAACTGGTATTCCCTGTCAAATCGTGGGACCGAACGCCGTGCCACTCTAGGCTTCCGCCATCCACAGTGCCCTGCTTCAGCTAGGCGGCCGATTTGCATATACGATAAGGTTTGCAGACAAGACGTTCTCGATACGACCACCACTCATATCCAAATCCCTCACCAGGACGAGAACCATCAAAACTCGCATATCGACACATGCACTTGACATCGTGGACCCCGTGCATGATTGCGTTTGCTGGCGGCAACCTCCGCGGCAGCAATCCTCTATGGCAGCAGCCCTCCACGGCCCCAGCGGCTGCTTACATGTACTCTTTTCTTTCTTTTTCCTCTGCCCCAAAAAGCCTCACCATTTTCCTCGTCGGTCCATCATGTCTATGTGTAACACAATATCCGCGGATTCGCTGATCACTGCATCTGTACAGTCCACCTCTCTCCTCTACCTCCAAATGAAATGCACTTGATACTTGACTACCACGGCATCCCCTGCAACACAACAGGACCCCCGCACCACTCATTCCCATTTCTTACACGCCTCCCCGCACGTTGCCACGGTCGGCCCTTGGTCGGTGCCGGGCACAGAATCGGTTGGTATATTGTAAGATATGGCCACATCAGCCACCCCCCCCCTGGCCCCGAAATAGCAGCTGAGCACGCATGGCCGTACCTAGGCGAGTTTACGGGGAAACGACCATATCCCCGGGGAAGCTACTAGTGTACTGTGGCCGTATAACCTAGCCTGGCCCATACCTCTGGGCAAGCAAGAAATGGGGGAGGGGAAATGGACTTCCAGCAGATGGCTCCCTGATCCTTGCTCTCTTTCCAGCCCCCCCTAAGCAGCTGATGAAACTATTCATAATCACAAATCAAAGATAGCGTTAACTCTTTCAGGAAGCTACCACCCTCGACCCCGTGTGTGAAGTGATCGAGAAGAGTAGTCTTCCCTCTCCCCTGCTTGTTCTTTTTCAGACAGATCTGCCTTGGTCGAGTCTTGATAACACCGGGGACGCGTAACGCATGCGTAGGGAGGGCAAACCTCGCTTCTTTGCCCATCTCCATATCTGTAAATGATGCAGAAACCCTGCACATGCGCACTGCATTTGGTAGATAGGCCATAGTAGTACTACGTTACGTTACGCCCGTCTCAGGAAAGAGAGGACACGCAATCTCTGCTCTGCAGGTCTGTACCATCCCTCCCTTTTGGGGCTATTGCTCCATTCGTCTTCGTCGAGACACAACGAAAAAAAACGATAGAGCGAGTTTACGCCGCTGAGGATGAAGATGCACTTCTCAATATAGTGGAATAACAAATTCCTGTAATTACTGCTCTCATGCAACATGAAGATCAGACGAAAACAAAAAAATTCTTTCTCATTCTCGTCACCGTTCTCTTCCAAATATCGTTATTGTTGCTTTGACTATGTCCGTTCAACCCCGGTCGGAAAAAGATATACCCATCACACATTCACATGTCCAAAATACACGCCCGTCAAAGGCCGCAATGTCGAAACCCATATCCACGACAAGAAAACACCGCAAATCAAACGAACACCATTTTCATTTTACAATGACACGTGCGCTCTGTAACCCAAGAAAAGAAAACCCCTCAACTCATCCTTCCAAATCCCTCAGTCCCACAACAAGCATCCCTTCACTACCTTCACCTCTCTCACTCCCCAACAAGGCATCCTTCCACCCTCTCCTTCCCTATCCGTCTCATCCTTCCCTTCCATCCTCGCCCACCTGTGTCTTCCTCGGACCTTCCCTCGCCTCCGCGTTCCCCGGACGCCGACTCTCCTCTTCCCACCTCCCTTCACATCCCGCCCCTCCTCCCTTAAGCAAAAGCCAAGTATCCAGGGATCCGGGATCTAACCCTCAATCAAAACCGAACAAGGGGCTCTCCACATACTTCGGCCCGTTTTGCTTGATTAGTCTCGATGGGAAGAATCCGAGGGTGCGGGTCACTGATTGGGAAGACCGTGGGTTGGAGGGATTGGGTAAGATGGATACGGACGGAAGGAGGGGACGGACGGAGGGTGAGGGTACGTATAGGGATACGGGATACGTACTTGGGTGGGGGTGGATAGGGTTTGGGTACTAAAAGATGAGTAAGGGATTAGGAAGGTTAGAAAGGGCAGTTTGGAGGGGTTGACATGGTGAGGGATAGGTTACGTTGGAAATATTCACCAGCGTATGGTTTTTTTTTCGTTGGATGTAGTTCGTTTCGTAGTGAAAATGATAAAGTTGCATTCTTACAATCTCACCCTCCCCAACACGATATGTCACTACGCGATATGTCACTATTTCTTCAAAGTCAGCCGCACGTGCTGCACTTCTCTTTCCATCGATAAGAAAACAAGAGGATGTAGATTTGTAAACAAATATGAAGTCCGATAAAACAACGATGCAATACCCCGAGCAACGATAAGAAAACTACAACAAGCCATCTCACCTATCCCCAAAACAGCCCAGGCAGCAAAGACAACTCGGTCAGCCACTTCTTGTATTACCCTCACCCGCATCCCATATCATCTCATATATACACGGTCGCAGTAGCGGCGTCGGGGAGTTAGGGCACTTGGACCAGGGATATATTATCGTTTTGTATCACCAGGGGAGAGAGGCTTACACCACACACATACTTGCATACATACATACATACATACATATAACGTGCATACGTCCATATCGGCAGCGGTTTCGGTGCAGTGAGTGGGTGCCCGGTATGACAATACACCTTTTTGCGGTGCTAATTATCCCGTTTACCTTTCTTCCTCCTCATTCTCCTCCGAAGAGCGCATTGTGGCGTTAAAAGGGCAAAGATCTAGAATGCTGACATATCTTACCTTGTTCGATCGGAAAAGCGAGCAGAATAGAGTTGACAATGGGACGCTGAGAGCGGCCAAAAAAAGACTCAAATCCCATATGCAGCGTTTCAAATAAATCAAAAAAGAGATGGAGAGAAAAGAGATTTGATACAAGCTCTTCGATACCCCCTGCACGCGAACAAGACCCTATCCCGTCCCCATATCTTTGTTGAGACGAGAGACGGCAACAACCACCCCCTAGAGCGGGCTGACACGGCGTCTTTCCAATCTGCCCGCACCCCCTCCCTTCCATCTTCGCTGCGGCCCGCTGGGCCTACCCGTCAGTTGCACAGCACACACTCCGTACCACACGCACAACGCAAGAACCCCTGGAGTTTTTCTCTCTCATCCCCCCTTTTCTCTCCATCTGTCTCAACACATGTGTTTGCTTGCGCGCCTCGGTGACCGAGATACGGGGATGCATCTGCGTCTTTTGTGGCATGGATGAAGAGAACCAAGGGCGTGGAGGCGAGGAGAGAGAGAGAGAGAGAGAGAGAGAGAGAGGAAAATTATGTGTGATGTGTTGTGGAAAGAAAAAGGGTCTCGCATAGGATTTCCATCTTTGACCAAGGAAAGAAAAATATATAGATGGAGTGATTGAGAAGAAGAATTGCGTGTGCAATTTCGGGTGTATTGTTGTTCTTTGGTTTGTTTCATTTGACTGATTAGTATCAGCTAAACTTGGCCATGTTAACATAACGCGCAAAACTGTGGTCTTCGCCTTGATCGAGACCACGGTCCTGCACCGCTTGTCTGTAGCGCTCCTTGATGCCCGACTCCGGGTCATCCGAGTCCATTTCGTCTTCGTAGTCTAACTCGTCGTGGGCCATGGCGTCGTCCTCCGAGTCTTCCGCGTCGCTGACAGTTTGCGGCTCTTCTTTGCGCGGCCGAGGCTTTGGCTTAGTGCCGGCGCCGCCAACCTTCATGTCTTTCATCATCTTGTCTAGTTCGCGCTGACGCGACGCCTTCTTTTCTTGCTCTCTCTCCACTCTTCTTCGCTCAAGCTCGGGCTTATAATCCCGCTCGAATTCCGCCTTCTTTTCCTCAACGCCCTTGAAAAACTCGTCTATGCCTTCTCCAGTCATAGCGCTGACGCCGACAACGCTAAGGTGCTTGTAGAATTCTTCAAGCACGAGCGACATGCTGTTCAGCAGGCTACCCATGTATCCGCTGCCTCCGCCTATACCATCGCCGCCAAAAGTGCCGCCTTCCTCTTCATTTCGGAGGGCAGTCTGAAACGCCTCAAAGTCCGTCATCCAGTCTTTAGCAAACTGGGCGTTCTGTGCATCGGTCTTATTGAACACCAGGATCATGGGCAGTTTTGTCTTGTAGAGAATCGAGCAGGCATATAACATGTTGGACATGAAAGTGCTTGTGCTAGTTGTGCGTGGCGTGTCGATAATGTAGGCAATCACTGTGGGGAATGTGCTGGCTAAACTCGAAAGAAGAATCTCTCCGCTGGCCGACCAGACAAAGACTTCAATCTGACCTGGTGTGTCAACCAGGATATGCTTGACCTGCGCTTGCTGAACTGGAGCCGCCTGTTTATCCTTTCCTCCGCTTGTCATGAATTCTACAGTGCTAGGCTCCGGCTCTTTTGCAGGCGGCGGCGGTTGTGTTCGCTTTTCTAGTAGACCAATGACCTGGTCAATTTTTGTGCTGAACAAGTTCAAACTTGTCAGGATGCCGCCGTTGGGACCCAAATTGAACTGCTTCATGACCTCTTTGTAGTTGACACTATCGCGAATGTCGATATTGGGCGTGAAGGGAACATGGTGGACGGCGGGGTCGAGGTTGATAATGTAGGGCGGGGTTGGAGGTTTCTTGGATACTGATGGCTCGCTCGTCGTGGGGTCGGGGTGGGTGTAGAGGTGGGAGACAAGTCGTTGCATAAATGTCGTCTTTCCACTGCCTGCCATACCCACGCATACAATGGAGACCGGCACATTCGAGGCAGCGGCGGGTGTGGCGCCCTCGGGGGCTTTTGAGGCAGACATGGCAAGGGTTTGTTCGAGTTGAAGCGGCAGCAAGGAGGAGTGTAAGTGTCGTGAATAGAAGGTAGTGTAGAGAAGAAAGTAGCAGGCGCTACACAACTCCAGTGAACAATCACCAGTCGCGGCCTTCCAGAAATTCTTAGGCGGGGCGGACGCGCTAGAAAACCGCCGCGGTGATGTCAGGTCCGAGCTTTGTCGGCGGTTCCAAACTTTGGCCGCGCGCGCTCAACGTCGCATAACATCACCGACGACAATTAAAACAATATCGTCGCCAACAATACCAAAATGGGCCTGGAAGAATTTGAAAAGGAGCTTGCGCAGAACAAGAAAAAAGACGAAGATAAGAAGCGCAACCGGAGCAGGAGTCGCGACAGGCATCACCGCAAGCACCGCTCCTCGCGCCATCACGACGACGACGAGCGCCATCGTTCCAAGAGGTCACGACACCATCGGGAGACATCTGAAGAGCGTGCGCGGCGGAAACGGAAAGAGCGGCATGAAAAAGAAGATCGATCGCGGCGCAAGCACAGAGAGACTCACTCGAGCGACGATGAGGACCGCCTGACACGAAGGCGCAAGTCACGACACTACCACGAAGACGAATCTTCTGGCGACGATGCCCCGCAAGAAAAAGACTACGTGCCCCCTGACGATGATATCCTGGACCAGCAGCTCGAGGAGGCTGCCGATGCAGACTTGCAGCGCGACGATTGGATGAAAGCGCCATCGTCCATGGACGTCGACTACGTGCAGCGAAAGAAGAAGGAGGAGAAGACAACTTATGTCAAAGCATCGGCTGAGCAACAGCATGCGCTCAAGATCCACCAAGCCGAGTTGAACCATCATCTGGCCGACATCAAGGACGAGCAAGCCCCTGTAGCTGACGAACCGGCCCAGCGAGAAGTGAGCTACACATTTGGAGACTCCGGATCGCAATGGCGCATGACGAAGCTCAAGGGCATATACCGGAATGCACAGGAATCAGGGCGAAGCGTGGAAGAAGTCGCCATGGAGAAATACGGCGACCTGCGTGACTTTGACGAGGCACGCGAGGAGGAGATTGAGCTTGATCGGAGAAAAATGTATGGAAAGGATTATCTGGGAAAGGAGAAGCCGTCAGGCGAGCTCTTCGAGGAGCGCAGACTAAAAGCAGGCATTTACCGACCGTCCTGTGACTCTGGCGAAGCAGCAGATATGCCCCAGGGCGAAGTTGTCCCTAATCCACAACCAACAGCAAACACGGTTGCACTCAGCCAAACAGAGCTCAACAGACTCAAAGCCCAGATGATGAAGGCCAAGATGAAAAAGGCCCCCGAAGCCGCCCAACTAGAAGCCGAATACAACGCCGCCCTCGCAAACGCATCCGGCTCTAAGGACCGCGATGTTGTCGTCCTAAACGCCATGGACAATCGCATGCTTGCCGGTGGCCGTGAAGGCGAAGTCATCGCCCTCACTAACAAGCGCGGCACCGAGCGCGGCCTCGTCAAGGAAAACGACGACATGTCCCTCGACGACATGGTCCGCCAGGAGCGCCGCACCAAAACCCAACCAGGCGGCGAAGGCCAGCTCCTTGCCTCTAAAATCGCAAAAGACAGTAAATTCAACAACGACCTCGACTACCTCGACGAAAACGCCACCAAACTCGCCGCCCGCGCCCCCAAATCCTCCATCAACCTCCGCAACGCCGCAATCCAAGACTACACTAAAATGTCCCGCATTCTCGACGCCTGTCCCCTTTGCCACCACGAAGACAAGTCACCCCCGCAACCCCCCGTCGCCCCAATAATCTCCCTCGCAACCCGCGTCTTCCTCACTCTCCCCACAGAACCAGAAATCAGCACTGGCGGCGCCGTCATAGTGCCCATAGCGCACCGCACCAACCTTCTCGAGTGCGACGACGACGAATGGGAGGAACTCCGCAACTTCATGAAGTGTCTCACTCGCATGTACCACGAGCAAGGCCGCGATGTTGTTTTCTACGAAAACGCTGCGTTCCCTGGTAGAAAAGGGCATGCAGCGTTGAATGCTGTCCCTATCCCGTTCGAGCTGGGGGACATGGCGCCTGCGTTCTTCAAAGAAGCGATTCTCGCCCAAGCCGGGGATTGGACGCAGCATAAGCCGCTGGTGGATACGCAAAAGGCATCGCGGAACGGCATGGGGAGAGCGGCGTTTCGAAGGAGTTTAGCAAAGGAGATGCCGTATTTTCATGTATGGTTTGAGCTGGATGGCGGACTGGGGCATGTGGTCGAGGATGAGCGGGCGTGGCCGAGGGGCGATTTGTTCGCCAGAGAGGTGCTAGGCGGCATGTTAGATGTTGATGTTGAAGTTGTGAAGAGGCAGGGCAAGTGGGTCAAGGGGGATAGGAGGGTTGAAGGATGGAGGAAAGGGTGGAGGAAATTCGATTGGACGCGGGTTTTAACAGAAGAGTAGTAAACCACTCTAGTTTCTTTATAATATCCCTGTAAACCTTTTTAGCTTAAATTATTTAAAGACCTTATATTAGTATTATTATTTCTACACTACTTTATATAGTAATAAAGCTAATATAGTACTAGAAGCTCTTAGATTTATTTTATTAGCTTTAATGAAATTACGTAAGTAAATAGATAGTCTCTATCTAGAGATAGAGTAGAGAAATAGTAGAGTTATATAGACTATGCATAGAGATAAAGACTAAGTAACTAAGACTTAGATAAAGATAAAGTAGAGTTTTATAGACTCTAAGTAAATATTTAGTTAAGTTATCTAGACTATAAATAGAATTATATTCTCGTTATCTTACTAAGTTAGTATATTCTAGACTAGTTAAGAAGTATCTCTTTATCTCTAAGTAGAGTAAAGAATAGATAATAGTTATATAGACTAAAATATAGATTAGATAGAGTTATATAAATCTTAGATAGAGATTAAGTAGAGTTACTAAGAGTTAGATAGTATTATAGTAGAGCTTATATCTATAACTAAACCTAAGTATTATTAGACTAGTATTTAGATAGAGGTTAAGTAGAGGTAGAGTTACTAAGAGTTAGATAGTATTATAGTAGAGCTTATATCTATAACTAAACCTAAGTATTATTAGACTAGTATTTAGATAGAGGTTAAGTAGAGGTAGAGTTACTAAGAGTTAGGTTAGGCTGGCGAGTTAGGTCTCTACCTTAGAATCGCTTTTTCTTAAATAGCTCTACTAATTCTTACCTAATTAGGAAGTTTAGTACCTTATTTTATAGCCCTAAGTTAGAGCTTTAATTCTATCTAGAATAGTAGTAGGCTAACCTAAATAGGTAAGACGTTATTTAAGATTAGAGTAAAATGTAGAGACCCGACTCTTAGCACAACGGGTTACTAGATATCTTCTTACCTATTAGAGCTAGCCTACTATTATATGGAATAAAAATAGAGCTTAGATTAAGGGCTATAAAATAAAGTACTAAACTTTCTAATAAGGTAAGTATTAGTAGAGATAATTAAGAAAAACGATTCTAAGGTAGAGACCTATTTACTAGCCTAAGTTAGATAGAGATAGAGTAGAGTAGCGATTATATAAGATCTTAACCTCTATCTCTATCTAACTCTTAGAAACTCTATCTCTATCTAACCTATATAGCCTATATAACTCTACTATACCTTTATCTAATCTTAGTACTAAGATTAGATAAAGATAGAGGTTAAGTTATAATTATATAAGACTCTACTCTATCTCTATCTAACTTCTAGTAACCTTTCTTTATATTTACTACTACTTATTTACTAGTATATTATAACGGCGTAGATAAGACTACTTAGATTAGTATTAGTAGTAATATTACTTAGAGGTATATAGAAGTGCGTAGAATATTAAATAAGGCTTTATTTAAATAGATACTAATAGACCTTATATAAAAGAATATTAAAAATCTACTTAATAAGCTATTATAGAGATTAGGTTTATATAGTTGTTTTTTCTACTAGGCTAAATTATACTCTAGTTTAGATACTATTTAGATATTTATAGGAACACATGCTAAGCCGTTATATATATAGCTTATAATAAAAAGCTATTTAGTAGTATAATAATTATAGTTTAAGAGTTACTTTAAAAGATAGGTATTAATAATTAGAAGATAATAAGTCTACTAATTAAGAAGCCTAAATATATAATAGAGACTTTATTTATTATAAATATTTATTATATATAATAAAACATAGTAAGACTTAATAGAGATATTTATTTATTATATTATTATCTATAATAAGTAACTAACTATTAGAATTATAATAGTCTATAGTAGTACTTATTTATATAGTACTTAGCTAAGCTTTTATCTCTCTAATAAATTAGAACTCTCTTAGTATAAATATTATTTTTATTATAATTTTATAATATTAGTATAGTAAATAGAGAAAAAGTATAAATAAATATATATCTTTAAAAAAACTAATTAGAAATTACTTAGTAGCTTCTTAGATAGCGCTAAGAGTAGTAGCCTAGAAGTGTATATTATAGAAGACGTTATAAGTAATCTTAGGTAGGCTAGTTATTAGATCTCTATATTATTAGAGATCTAAGCTATTTAGCTAATCTCTAATGAAATTAATCTATTAATCTCTAACCTATATTAGGACAATACTAATCCCTAACCTAAGTTAATATTATACTCTAATCTTAACGATCTAAATAATCTATTAATCTCTAATCTAATCTATCTATCTATTACGNAATCTATNACTAAGATAGATTCTTNTAGAATCTAGAGCAGCTAGTATATATAGAGGTAGAATAACTAGTAGATAGAGAGTAGAGACGATTATAACTATAAGATTAGATTAATTTAATCTTTATCTCTCTCTCCTAG